GATAATAAATAAATAAATAGATAGATAAATAAATAATGATAACATGTACTACTAACCAGTTGGTTAAAAATGCCAGGCAGCAGTTCAGTCAATGCTAAAGAGAGAGGAGGAGAAAGAGAGGGGGAAGAGAGAGAGAGAGGGAGAGAGAGGGGGAGAGAGAGAGAGGGGGAGAGAGAGGGGAGGATAAAAGAATATATGACATATGTATAATGATAATCATTATTAATCCATAATGTACATGGCATGTATGTTCATGTCCACATATTTCATTGCTTACATTTCTGCTCACAGTTTCCAGTGATGGCAAATGTATTAGCAGCCAGAGAAGCTTGCACTGAGAGAGAGAGAGAGAGAGAGAGGTAGTATTAGTATTGGCAGAATATTTAACAAACAACATGTATAATAATAATAATCAAAATATCATTTTAGGCTAATTAGCAAGTAATTGATTAAGAATACCTCAATATAAATACATTAAGAGTTGCAATACTCTTTAGTACTTGTACCGTTAAATGAAGCTCCTCCCACAACCCCACCCACTAGTATCCCTTACCTTTAGGATTGACAAAATGAATTACGTATCCGTCATCTTTGATCATGTTCACCTCCTCCACTGCCTGAATGGAGTTAACCGAGAGACGCTTTAATGTGTTCTGTAGCTTCTTATCATCAGTTGCTGTCTTGTGAACAACCTTCCTCTTTCTTCTCTGTGTCCCCTATAAGAATGGAGTAGAGCCGAAGAGAAAGGGTGATAATGATGATGTAATGTTGTACTTTGCCTCCGAGGCGAGCCTTCTCGCTTTGTTGCTGGATCTTGGCTAGTTTTGCCGTGTTGATGGGCATATTGACCTATTGATAAACTATAGAATGGAGGCTAAATGACTCAGCTAACCTTTTAAAAGTAAAAATATGAAGAGTAAGGAGAAGGACAGCGAAGGAAGAAGGACGTACACGTGCGGTAGTAACGGAATACCTCCGGATATTTTTGTAACTTTAGCCACACCTTTTGAGCCACGCCTTCTTCATTTATTTTAGGGTGGGGCTGGTTTGCAGGAAAGTGTGAAAAAATGGCAATAGAGAATGAGTTTACAATGCAAGAGCTGAGGGACCTGAGGGAGGTTTTCCAAGTTTATGATCCTTCAAATACTGGCAGCTTGACAATAAGTGATTTTAGGAAGGTGAGCTTTAAAATATCTAATTTTTAATTGGCAGTTTTTGAATTTAATATTGTCACAGGTTATTAAAGTATTAGGTTTTACGGTAACTAGGAGACGACTACAGGAGCTAATGAAAGAAGAAGAGATAGGAAAGGAAGGATTGATAACGTACAT